CAGAACTTATAAAATCCTCATGATTTCAAAATGACACACACCCTCCAATCAAATTTTGTTTGATTTTCTGATGTAGAGGGGGCATTGATGTCTGTTTTCTAAATGATTTGTTTGATTTCAAAAAAGAAAAAACCCTTATGAAAAAAAGAAACAAAGAGTAGAAAAAAGAGAAACAAAAAGATACGGAGTAGAAAAAAATTAAATTAAAAATGAACAGAAATTCGAAAATGGACTCCGGTGCTCCGTATGGCTTAGGAAGTAGGCATCAATGCCCACTCTTTGCGGGGAAATCAAACGGGAAATGATCAGAGGGATTCCGTGTGTAACATTTTGAAAATTGAAACCATAGAGATTTTATAAGTTTTGAAAAGACAGAGGTATTGGTGCTTATTTCCGAAACCACATGAGCTCTGGAGTATTTGCTTGTCATTCTGCTTAAGTAAAATTTTCTTTTAGATGTTAGATTCATATCTCTTTTGTTCTATGAACTTTCATACTTGCACTACAAGTATTTAGTTCAAGTATTCAACCACTTTTACCAACACGGCGATGTTCATGACTTTTTTTCAATGCAGCCTTGCCATTTACCTTAAAAAATTGGGTGAAACCAAAACTTAATTTATCACTAGAAAGGCGGCAGATTGATTTGACATGTTGGATAAATTACATGGACCCATGGATTGGAGGGGATGGTAAGAGGACATCAATGTCAAATATGGTTCAGGTACTACATGAACCAATGCTAACTACTTCCTTCGTCCCGCATTATATTACAATTTTTTTCTCACCTCTCCATGACTTTTATTTATATACATGTTTTCATTGATTATTTGATAAAATAAAATATCCTTGTCACTCTTGTTTTGTAGAGATTTTGACATAGTTTTTTAATATGAAAGTTTTATTTTCTTATTCTTAAATAAACTGATTTTAAAATATATGGGAGTTTTCTTTGTAATTCTAAAATTGTGATCTAATTTGGGACGGATGGAGTATGATAGAGCAATTTAATATTCTCCGTGTTTTTCCATCAATAACTCACATTGCACAGGACCCCATATATATTAGGACCGGCCCCCCGGCTGCTTGTGGCGGGTACATAGACTCACATGTCAAGGTTGCGCAATATAATTGCAAAAGTCACTAAACTCAGCCAACTGAGACAACTCCATGGACACCTCATTCATTATTCTCTCCATTGCCAAAGCTACTGGGCAGCGCTGCTCATTAACCAGTGCACCCGCCTCCGGGCTCCGCGGTCCTACACTAGATGCATTTTTGACTCAGCATGCAAGCCCAATGTCTTTGTCTTCACCAGCATGCTTAAGTACTACTCCCAGTTTGGTGCCCAGAGTGATGTTCTCCATCTGTTTGCAGAAATGCAGAAGAGTAATGTGAATCCTGATGCATTTTTGTACCCGATAATGATCAAAACAGCAGGGGAGAATGGGATTGTGTTCCATGCATATGTTATGAAAATGGGTCTGGACTGTGATAGGATCATACGCAATGCTATCATGGATATGTATGGGAAATTTGGGCCGATCGAGCATGCTAGACAACTGTTTGATGAAATGTCCGAGAGAGCTGTAGCGGATTGGAACTCGATTATTTCTGGATACTGGAAATGGAGGAATGATGTTGAGGCAAAAAAGTTGTTTGATCTGATGCCGGATAAGAATGTGATTACTTGGACAGCAATGGTGACTGGGTATTCAAGAATGAATGATTTGGTGAATGCTAGGAGATTCTTTAATCAAATGCCTGAGAGAAATGTTGTTTCATGGAATGCAATGATTTCGGGCTATGCGCAAAGTGGGTGTAGTGAGGAAGCTTTGAAGTTATTCACAGAGATGGTGAATGCTGGTATTAATCCAGACGAAACCACTTTGGTAACTGTTATTTCTTCCTGTTCTTCACAAGGTAATCCTGCCTTTGCTGAGTGGCTTGTCAGGGTGATTAACGAAAAGGGCATTCGTTTGAATGCCTTTGTGAAAACTGCTCTACTCAACATGTATGCCAAGTGTGGAAATCTAGAAATGGCAAGAAAGATTTTTGATGAGATGGGTCTGCAAAGGAACTCTGTTACATGGAATGCGATGATTTCTGCATATGCAAGAAATGGTAATCTGTCTTTGGCAAAAGAGCTCTTTGATAGGATGCCGATGAAAAACGTTGTGTCCTGGAATTCTATAATATCTGCTTTTGCAACGAATGGACAGTCAAAAATAGCCATTGATTTGTTCAAGGAAATGATTGAGAAGGAGTTGGTGCCCGATGAAGTAACCATGCTCAGTGTCATCTCTGCCTGTGGCCATCTTGGGGCTCTGGAATTCAGCAAAGAGGTCACAAATTTCCTAACTAAGACCCAAATTAAATTAAACATTTCATGTTATAATTCCTTGATTTTCATGTATTCCAAGTGTGGAAGCATGAACGACGCAAAAAGGACATTCCAATCCATGGAAAGCAGAGATGTGGTATCTTACAATGCACTTATTACCGGCTTTGCTGCTTATGGGAAAGGAGATGAAGCCATTGATTTACTCCAAAGGATGAAGGCAGAGAACATTAAACCAGACCGAATAACTTATACAGGAGTTTTAACAGCTTGCAGCCATGCAGGTTTGGTAGATGAAGGCCAAAGAATTTTTGAATCAATCAAAGCTCCTGAAGTTGATCACTACGCGTGCATGGTGGACTTGTTAGGGCGAAACGGTAAACTAGATGAAGCAAAGGGATTGATTGAAAGAATGCCAATGCATCCTCATGCAGGAGTATACGGTGCGCTTCTAAATGCCAGTAGGATTCACAAAAGAATTGATTATGGAGAGTTTGCAGCTGATAAGCTCTTTGAGATAGAACCAGAAAATGCAGGCAACTATATCTTGCTCTCCAATCTATATGCTTCTCTTAGGAGGTGGGAAGATGTTGAAAGAATCAGAGGACTGATGAGTAGAGAGGGAATATCCAAAACAACCGGGTGCAGTTGGGTGGAACATCATGGGAAAATGCACAAGTTCAAAGTGGGCGATCTGTCCCATGAGAAATCAGACGAAATTTACAGAGTGCTTCGCGAAACGGAGAAGAAGATGAGGTTAACTGGATACAGAGCTGACAAGAGCTGCGTGTTGAGAGACATTGAAGAAGAAGAAAAGGAGGAGATGGTTGGGAGCCACAGCGAGAAATTGGCGGTCGCTTTTGCCCTTTTAGTGAGTGAACCGGGATCTGTGATACGGGTCGTGAAGAACCTTCGGATATGTAGGGATTGTCACACTGCCATAAAGATCATCTCCAAGCTGGAGAAGAGGGAAATCATTGTCAGGGACAACAACAGATTCCACTGCTTTAGCAATGGCCTCTGTTCCTGCAAGGACTACTGGTAAAACGTGTACAACAACAACAGCAAACTCAGTAAAAAAGCAAATCATATTAAATAGGAGGATAACATAGCATTTATCCTCAAAACATGAGTTTTGTGTTTTTATTTTCAACATAGGAGTTTACACTGTATACTGACATCTCACAATATTTTTTGGTACTCTATATTGGCACTATTGTCATTGTACTCCTATTTTGAAGATAAAAAACATGAAGCTCTTATTCCGGTACTTTCTTCATGTTTTACTCATAGTTTAATCTTTTTTCCTAGCAAAATCTCACAAAAAGTAGGGTTTGATAAGGGGGTGTGTATGTTGATTTAACCCCACTTGAAAAAGTATGAGATTGTTTCCAAGAGACTTCAGCTCAAGCAACTATTTGTTACTCTAAATGTTTGCAGCTCTAAGGAGAATCATGAAATGCCTTTGGCAGAACGAAAACACCATCTAACTACTTGACTCATACATAAACAAATCATTCAATCACGTAATTGTAACTCAAATCCTAAATATATGGAGTATGATTTAAATAGACTAGTTTTTTCGCGAGTACATAGAAGAAAATCATCCCAGAACAAAAATGTTAATTTGACTTTGTGTAGAATTCAAGAAAAATAAAATTATGTAGTTGAACGTGATGCACTGGAGCAAGAGTGATTGTGTGAAAAAAGAGAATTTTAAAATTGGAAAAAAAAAACTTATTTTGGAACATTCAAAGAAAGAATGAGGTATAGAGGTGTGTTATTTTGGACAATTATAGTAGATTAAAATTTGTGTGGTTTTTTTTCTAGATTCAAATGATGTAAATTTACGGAGTATTAATTCTAGTCAAAGTAGAATGCCTAAGAAATAAACGTTGGAGGCACATGAAATCACTCACCTGAACAAACTAAAAACTAAATGTTTCTACTCTGTTTTTAAGCTGGTCAAAATAATATTTCGGTTGTGGTTCACGATGTTTAACTGAATTTATTTTCAATTTATTTTTCTTAAAAAAGTGAAATAAAAAAATTATTTAAAAGTTACATCCAAAGTTCCATGAATCAGAAAGTGACATACCTATTTAATTTTTTTCAAATGAATAACTAAATCAAAACATAAAGTTAATACAATTTGACCATATATTAATAAATAGAAAATTTATTTTGAAACACAATTTGATAAATTTAACCATGTAAACAATACGATTCATTTGGTAGCAGGACTAGTATCATCTCATAACTTCACCGTCAAAGTACATGACTCCTAAAGCCATTTGTAGGTCTAATGTTACCCCGTTGGACCTCAACGGCTCAACCCAAATCCACCACCCCCTCCCTCCCCAAAACCTCGTAAAGCCCCAGTTGCCCAATATCGACGTTCATAGGGCGCATCCCCTCGCCCTCTATACTACCTAAGGTAGGTCTCTCACGGGGTTTTGAGGGTTATTTAGCTTGTTTTGAATTAAATTCTTGACAGTTATAATATAATGCAATTATAAACTATAATACGAAGTACATTTTTATAATCTGTATATACTAGACCTTATTCATCAATTCAAAATTAAATCTCAATTTATTTATTTTAAACTCTTATCAAGACTAGTATTGAGATACCTTATCAAATATCAATGTAAAAAGACATCTTCATCTACCTTATGCCTGATGGCCATGGGGATACATATGACATGTAATCTACGTGGAAGATAAATTTTTCTTAATATTTTCCCCCAATCAAAATCCCCAGATCTACGGTTACAATTGTAATTCACCCCTTACCAGAATACTTCTTCTTTGCTCGTATATATACGCACCACATGTATTATCAGATGATCCTAATTTATCCCCAGCATTCTAAAATCTTCCCAGGGTTTTTCATCATCAACAGCTCAAGATATTTTATTTAATTGGTACTTGTATTTATTTGTTTATTGATCAGAAAAGTAAAATATTATACTTCGTATTTGTTTATTATTTTATGGAATTATTAGTATCCTTACGTACATAGGATAAAGTTTTGATCTTTGGAAGAATTTAGATTCAGATCTGCACAGTTCTTTGTGGGTCTGCTTTCTTTTTCGTTATCATGAACCTTTGATTACACTTCACTCCATTCTCCACCTTTTTTCCACTTCACGCTGCCTTCAAGATCTCCATTTTGCATTTTTTTCCCTATAAATCAAGAATATTAGTCTCTTTTTTGCAAATTATAAATCAGATTTTCTCTGGTGCAATTTACATACATTTAGGTGATGATTTTTTTCTATAAAAAATTGTCCATATATAAATTTAAATTTGTCCTTATTGCTGAATTATGTTTAAATGTAGAAAAAATGCATTTGAAATCTGAGATTTTATAAGAATACTACAAGATTACATAATTGTCAACAATGTGTTTATACTCCAAGATTGCATATTGATCATAGATATGCTTTACAATTCGGGGATCCATGTAAATTAAAAAGTCTCTTGGAGTGTTATTGTAAAAATATTGAATTCCTTGGAGTGTTGGTGATATATATGAAATCTCGGAGTATTTTTTTTTATGAAATCTCAAACATCTTGGAGTATTGGCATGAGTTTTTCCTTAAATACATGTTGACTTTCTTTGGGCAGATCTTTTATTGCATTTTAGTAATAATTCAATGCTGAGATTAGTGAAAAGATTGCATTTTTATCTTCTTTTTCTATCAGTATAAACTTTTGGAGTCATTGAATCATACTTGATCATTTGATTTCAACTTTCCTAGGTGGGTAATTTGAAAAATGGCTGGAAATGGAACAAAGCCCCCTCCAGAGCCGTCACCTTTGAGAAAGGCTAAATTTTTCCAGGTAGAATACTAATTATGAGCTTCTAGCTCTGTTGATGCGATTCGAGGTCAAACCTAGTCCATTTTATTGTTAACATTAAGTATCTTTTAGACATTATATCCTCTTAAAACATGTCAAATGCCTTAATTTGTTGATTTCTTTTCCTACATTTTAAACTAGGCAAACATGAGGATTTTGGTAACCGGTGGTGCTGGCTTCATCGGGTCCCACCTCGTCGACAAGCTTATGCAGAATGAGAAGAATGAGGTAATTGGAGTGTGTGCTGGTTTGGGTTGTATGTTACAGTTTGGAAGCTCTCCTATATTTAAGTCCTTCTTTGGTAAACATGAGGAGACGGTTGGAAAATGGAGGTGGTTAAAAGAAATACAGATGACTGGGAAGGAATTATTATCCTTAAAAATGTAAAAATGTTGTATATCTTGTATAGTTTTTGTTGTATATAAAAATGCGTTTCAATGTATAAAAATTACTGTGGAACAATTATGGTGAAAAAAGGTTAAAGAAATAATTTTTTTTAAAGAACCCCAAACCAAACCAAACAAACCTCAAGCAGCTTTTAATATTTTAAGGTGTATGGTTGATCTTGCTGAGATAGCTCTTTTATTAAATTCAGGTGATTGTTGTGGATAACTATTTCACTGGGTCAAAGGATAACCTCAAGCAGTGGATTGGCCATCCAAGATTTGAGCTTATTCGTCATGGTATGCTTTTGTTTGTTTTTCACCTCTCAATTTTATCTTACCCTTCTTGATGTATTCACCCTTTTACATTTCTTGCAAGGCAGATGTTACAGAGACATTATTGGTTGAAGTTGATCAAATTTACCATCTCGCTTGCCCCGCTTCTCCAATTTTTTATAAGTACAATCCTGTTAAGGTCAGTCAATACCCACTTTTAGTTAATCTTGTTTTTATGCTTGTGCGTTTTTACCTTAGCCTTTAGCCGAGCCTCGTTGCTAGTTTTGGTATGTTTTTACCTTAGCCTTTAGGAGCGATAATAAATTTGCTTCAAACTTTTTTGAATTATGACTTGTGAGACTTCAATCCAAAACAAATTGGCAATGGGAGGAGCATCTTATATCCTTGTATATTAGTCCTTTATAATATGGGTGTTTGATTGGAACTGTATCCTCAACAAACTTATTAAATCAATTTACATTTTTGTTTAATCTAATTTGTTTTACGGCATTGCTACCATATAATGACTAAGAATTCAGTGGTTGAGAAAATGATTTAGTACGAGAACCATTTTCCTTGGCAATCTTATCTATAGGTTCAACAGCTTACTCTCACTTACAACCATCTTGATTCTTTCATGTTTGACATTGCAGACAATTAAGACAAATGTAATTGGGACATTAAACATGTTGGGACTTGCCAAGAGAGTTGGAGCAAGGTTGGAATCACCTTCCTTCTACCCTTCAGTTTAAGGGCATATGATCTATGGTTATACCTTTTCTTACCATTTGTATACTATGCTTATAGGATTTTGCTGACATCAACTTCAGAGGTTTATGGAGATCCTCTTGTGCACCCTCAGGACGAGAGTTATTGGGGGAACGTTAATCCAATTGGTAATCAATATATTACTCCGTATTTTTTTCATTTTTCTTGGGTTTCTTAAGTAAACAATCAATAAATTTTGGTTGGAGGAATGAAACATAAAGAGTCCATTTTTCCTTCCGTCCCACTATTTTTGCCCACTTTTACCCTTTTAATGTTCTCATGCCATATTTGGTTATATTTGAATGGTTCACATTCATTCTTAATTTTTAACATCAGTGTCAAAAGGCTTAGTTTTGCTTCTGTCCCACTTTTTTTCCCCTAGATCTATGAATATAGTTTTCAAAAGACTTAGTTTTGCTTTTCAAAAAGGGCTAGCGAAGTATTAGTCGATCACATAAATATAACTAATTTATGGTATTTATAATCAATATTATCCCCGGTTGGCAAAAACAATGTCAACTAAAGGATCTCACTTTTCTTAATTCTCGAGCAACTCTCTAATGTCCTAAAAATAGTAGAAATGTGCAAACAACCTCTCTACTCTCTATGTAACCAGTTGGAAACCGGAACTGGTCAGAACCACCGGGGAAGGGTTCCCGTTAGTTTTCACATTTTTGGGAACTGGCAGTTCTGGTTCCATTAATTTTTAATGCTAATTCTCAATTTATTTAAGGTTGATTCACAATATCTACCAAGAAAAAAACCAGAACTGGTCGCGACCACCCCTACTATACCTAGTTTCAGTTAGAGTTCCTCCCCTGGTAACCAGAACCGGTCCGTGTCCACTCTAGCTTACACTTGGCTTCTTCAAACCCCACTTTGTGGGATTTTACTGGGTTTGTTGTTTCATGATCTTAATAATTGAAACTACCTAAAAAAACATTCAAAAACCTAGGAATTGTAAATTTTTTTGATTTAAAATTGATAGAAACAAAACTCATCAAGACTTGAATTGAGTATGTTAATCTAGGTCACTTTTCCCTTGAAACTATTCACATCGTTAATTTCATTTCAGGAGTTAGGAGTTGCTATGATGAGGGGAAGAGAGTGGCTGAGACTTTGATGTTTGATTATCACAGGCAGCATGGGATAGGTATCTCTTTTTTCCCCTTCATAAATGCATGCAACCCTTTGGTTCTCATTATTTCCTAACTTCATTTTGTGGACTAAATTGGCAGAAATCCGCATTGCTAGAATCTTCAACACTTACGGTCCGAGAATGAACATCGATGATGGCCGTGTCGTTAGCAATTTCATCGCTCAAGCAATTCGGTAATGTTTGATGGAGTTGAATGACAGATTTACCCCTCCCTTGACCACATGCTTATTATATGAGAGTAGTTTACTACTTTACTTGCTTTGACATATATGCTTTGTTATTTTTATGGTTGTGTAGGAATGAGCCCTTAACTGTCCAGTTGCCCGGAACACAAACCCGTAGCTTCTGCTATGTTTCTGACATGGTACATGAAAAGAGCCATTTATTTAAACACTGATTTTAATACTTGAAAAGGTTTGTGATCGCAGGTTATTATTATTATTTTTACTTTATCACTGAGTTTTGTTAATGGTGAAGGTTGATGGTCTCATTCGGCTCATGGAGGGAGACAATACCGGGCCGATTAACATTGGGAATCCAGGTCTGGCTCATGTGTTGGAAATCTAATCTTTCTCCAAAATTTTACTATCTTCTCAAGAATCTCTATTGACCCATATTAGAGACGGTGATACGAGCTTTTTTTAACTTTCAGGTGAATTCACTATGAAAGAACTCGCAGAGACTGTGAAAGAGGTAAAAACCTCTAACGATGACACCACGTTTGACACTGTCACCGTCTCACTACGTGACTGTGTCTAATGGTGTCAGCCTTGGTGTCATCCATGGTTCTAATACTTTTTTTTACTGTTCACCGCTCATTCCTAGCTCAAAGTGTCAACGCGCATTAACATCGCGGGTCGTTTTTTAATGATATAGATGATAAATCCAGAAGTGAAGATCATAGAGGTGGAGAACACTCCGGATGATCCACGGCAAAGAAAGCCAGACATCACAAAGGCAAAGGAGTTGCTGGGGTGGGAACCGCAGGTGAAGCTGAGGGATGGGATTCCTCTAATGGAGGACGATTTTCGAACCCGGCTTGGCATCCCCAAGACCCACTAGTCACTCATCACCTCTGCATCTCCATCCCCAAACTATATACATACCTTCAAAGAAATGCTCAAATGTTTACCAAGTATTGTATTGTCTTCTTATTCTTCTTCAAAACCTTGAAGTATTTTTTTTCTTTCTTTGGTGGGAATTTACTTGTGACAACATATAAGTATCTCAATTATAAAGGATTTGTGGAAAACATTGAATAATAATTATAATGTTCAACTTGTGCTTTCTACACCTAGGAGTAGAGGTAGTGTTTGCTTTAGCATCATTCTTTCCATGTTTTACTTTCATGATATATTGAGTGCATGTTTGGTGAGCAAAGCAAGATTTATAAGATACGGGTTGGTAGGGAAATTAGGTGAGTTTTGAAATTTGAAATGAAAGTATATTGAGGAATTTGAAATGTAATATGATTGTTAGTAACACGAGATGAGAAGCCAGCAATGGGTATGAGACTAATGAGAGAGGTACTAAAAATCTTGAGGGTCTGTTTGGTATAAAGAATTAGTGGAATTGGAATAGAAATTTCATGGGATTCAATTCCATAGAATTGAATTTTGTCAATTTCAATTCATTTTTTGCAATATCAATTTCAAATCCACATAATTTTTGTGCTATCAAACACCGGAATTGGAATTGAAGTCTCCAATTTCAATTCCATAGTTTGAATTCCATGTACCAAACGGGACCTGAACGTTTAACATATATAGTATGTCGTATTTTATAAACCCTAGCGTATTATACGCGAATGTATATATTGTCATATTATATATTATATTAGATGTATATTATTGTACGTAGTAACTATGTTTACAACTACATTGGCCAAAAAAAGAATTTTGGATGGTCCAAAAACAAAAATAAGAAGAAAATTTTGGATATTAGTAATTCTTAACATAACAAGAAAGACATAGAATTAGGAGAGCAATCCGTTCACAATTTATCTCTCTCGAAATTCAACCAAACTCCTTTACTTTCATTATTTCACAATTTTTGTTTTCGATCAATTTTGAAAACTTACTTTGAGATGAAGAGAGTTGACAATAGGTGACACGTATACATGTGACGCATTTTATGTGAGAAGAAACTCATATACACTACAAAGGTTTAACGACTGGTTTCAGATCCCAGTGCTTTCATATAAGTATTATTTTTGCGTGTCGGGACATGCTTCAAATTGCAAGAGAAGTTCGACCACTAGAGTAATAGCTAAATGGGAAATCACATTTTCAATCTTCAGTGTAGGTAATAGAATTCAATACTTCAATAAGTTGAGAAAATATATACGAATATGATATTGTACAATTGTAATAGATCAAAGTTATTAGTGCTCAAAAAATAAAACATTCTCTCTTGGTGAAATAAATTCTTGTAAATTTTAACTTTTACAAACTTCATTAAAAAATGTAAAAATTATGAAGAAAAAATGTTTAAATGATAAAGAAATTTTATGAGTCACATATTCATTACTAAAAAAATAAATGAAAATAAATGAAAAATAATTTTTAAAACATTGAAAATTGAATAGAAATTGTGTAAAGTGTAATTGGAACTAAGGCATACCTGCACATGTAAACAGTTAACTATTGTGTCATTCACTTGTAAATAATAGTCTAATAATGGAGCAGTGTCAACCTCGGGTGGAACACCCATCATATCCTAGGCGTCCCCCGACCCGATGACAAACTATCACATTGAATAAAATTTCCACGCATCAGGATTCGATCTTGAGACTTCAAATTTAAGTTCTCTCTCATAACTATCCAAGCTACCGGTTCGGGCCTAAGAACATCTTTAGCGAGAGAAATTCAAGATGTACACATTTTGTATGTTAAATAGCTTCCACAGTGCCACATTACTTAAGCAACTCACATACTCCATAGTGAGTATGTGTTTACTTTAATGGTGCAAACACCTAACAACTTCATAGCACAATATCATTAAAAAAAAATTCTACTCTAAATTATTCTATTAGTTGTTATTAAAAAAAATTAATATCTAAGATACAATTGATTACGAAAGCAATGATGCTTGTTTGTAAGTAATTGCCACTTAAATAATTCCCAATAGTAGTTTAGCACAAAATACAATTATTAATTTGAGTAACTTTTTAAGCACATATCATCAAGAGATGTTCTAATGGTATCCACTCTAATAGGGAGTATCGAACTTGGTAGTTTTTAACTTTTTTTAAAAGAGTCACTTAGTACACCGTCAAAGCGTCAATCTTCACTATTTAATCTATATCAATTCTCTAAACTATTTACCCACATTTAAAATTGGAATAAATTTACTAGTAATCCAAAAATTGTATTTTAAAACTTCATATTTACATTTTGTGTCAATATAATGCTAAATTGATGACTCACGTTTACCAAAAATATCAGTGCAAAATTTTGCGAGATTGTGTATTAATGTAAGTAATCAAAATACAAATGTAGACTTTTGGTTTGTATGTTGGGGTACAATATTTAGGACACGCCAAACATGGTTGTTAAAACTGTGTGACTATGATTTAATAGCGTACATTAGAGATATTTTTTTGGTCTATTCCTAATACTCTCCGTCTCTATTTTGATTACAATTATATTTTTCTCTCTTTTCAATAACTTTTGTTTATTTGTATATTTTCATTGATTATTTGATAAAATAAAATATTTTTGTCATCTCTTATTGTGTAGAATTTTGGACATAATTTTTAATATGTAATTTTTATTTTTTATTGATGTACCAATTTGTAAATAAGATAATTTTAAAAATCGTGATAATTTACCTTGTAGTTCCCATTTTGTAGGAAACTTTTATGGTGCACCTAAGGTCAACTGGACCTACATATGAAGAAAATAAACATTTTTTATTATTACTTAGATAAGTATTTGTTTTTTAAAAAATAAAAAATAAATAAAAATATTTTTGTGAGAAAATATATAAAATTGATATGGACTCAAGATATGAAGCACTCCATTTTATAATTAAAATAGGATGGACGGAATATACTCCCTCCGTCCCTAAATAAACTTCCCCTTTCGTTTTTTCTTTGTCCCCAAATAAATTTCTCTTTTCGTTTAAAAAACTCATTTTACTCCTTACTTTTTCATACTATATCTATTGCATCATACATTTTTACTAATAATCTACATATCACATTTTACTTTTACACATTATATCAAGGGTATTTTTGCAAAGTAAACACAAAAATATCCATTTCTTAAATCTTCAAAAGGTAAAAAAAAATTTATTTAGGGAGGGAAGTTTTTTTTTTTTGGAAAAAAACAAGTGGTAACCTTAATCTCCTCACGGACAAGTCACATCTCAAAGTACTCCGTACTCAATTACGGAGTTAATTAGGCAACTTAGGTGTGTGGTAATGACAATACTTACTGTGTGGATCACTAATAAATGCCGGATTGTTTGCGCACGTGCTTATTTGTCTGCTTGCTGACAAATCGGACGTGGCTATTACTTGGTCGTGGCCCCACCTCTGTCCGCAGCCTTTCACACCCTAGTGGCAGGACATGACAGCCTTAAGGGACAATGACCACTTGCTCCTAGGTGTATACGAAAAGGAGAAAAAACAAACTAGGAGTAAAATATATGTCATATCCTCAAAATAAGAGTTCAAACTTAAACTCCTCTAAATACGAGTAAAACATAATTAATAAAACAAAAAATACTCCCACACGTAGGGATGGCAACGGGTCGAGTTCGGGTCGGATAGTACTATACCCGAACCCGACCCAACTTTTAAAACCGAAACCCGAACCCGACCCAAAACCCAACCTTTTAAACCAAAAACCTGACCCGACCCAATCTCGACATTCCAACCCAAAACCCGACCCGAACCCGACTTTTAACCAATAATCAATTCAATGTACCCCAATAATTTTTTTGTGTCTCATTTTTTTATTAAGGAATTATAAAAATGATTATAAGTAGCATACTTGATATAGTAGCATTTTGTCAAGAGATTATACGGAGTGTTCATTATATCTATAGATAGGCTTTTATGTTATAAAATATTCGGGTTTGAGTCGGGTCGGGTGCGGGTCAGGTCGGGTAAAATAATAAACCCACACCCGACCCGACCCGACCCGATGTCGGGTTCGGGTAAAAATTTTTGGGTCGGGTTCGGATTATTCTATTCTCGGTTCGAGTTCGAATATTTTAGTGGTCGGTCGGGTCGGTTAAGCTCGGGTTCGGATTGAATTGTCATCCCTGCCCACACGCACATTTTTTTCAAAGATGCATGCGAACTAAAAGTAAGGAGCATATGATACCATGATCACTGCATGCGACTAATTTTTTGCAATGTTTTTGAGTTTTTCATTTTTTTTATAAAAAGTCAAAATAAAGATTTTAACTTAATTAATAAAACAAAAAATGCTCCCCACACGCAATGCATTTGCGGCCAATATAATACTAGTGGTGGCCAAGTTCAAAACTAAAAAAATTCGGCCAATTTCACAATAGCATGCTACTGACAGCGACGCCCATTGCCGCAATCGTCGTCGACGATGATGCCCACCACCGCCATCGTCGCCGCCACATACCTGCCACTATCACTTGAATCTCCACCGTTGTCGTCCTCTGCTCTGCTCCACCGCACCGCTGCAATCAAAACCTACTATTGACGCCTTTAATTTTTTATTGTCACCAACGACAACATCACCGCTCTATACCATTATCAACGACACTACCATCACAATCTGCACTATCTAGTGCCACTGTACATTAAGAGTCAATACAGTGTCAAAGAAAGACATAATGTCAAACATGACATGATATAATGTCACATATGACAATATATAATATCATAGATACCCATATGTAATGGAACATATGCTCATATATAATGCCACAATGTTACACAATGACATAATGCCAAACTAAATCCAATGGCTTCCACGACTACCAGCGAGAATTTTGAATAAAATAGAATTCAATTAAAGATCGAGAGAGAATGCTCACTTTTGAAATCATGCTTTGAGGAAGAGACATGGAGGTGGGCGGCGTGACACGAGTGCGGCGATGAATCTGAGAGGGATGGGGTGCATGGCGACAGCATCGACGGTGCTATGATTTGGCGGCGGCGGTGATGAAGCTGTGATTGGTTGGCGACGATGATTAAAATTGATTGAAGAAGAAGAGGTATGCCTTTGAGCGAAGTCGGATGCGATTGGCGCTCTCATTTCGTGGTAGAACTAGTCAAGAAAAAAAAGGAGTGGTAGCTCTCTACCCGAAATTTTCAACTATAATCCATACACTATAGAATCGAACTGGACTTTAGAAGAATTATATGCTGATCGGCTCCATGCATAAAAAATGCTTTAGGGATATCTAAGCATGCAAAATTCCAACTCTTGACCGCCTTGGATGTACGTGGATCCCAAATTTTATATTTCAACAATTTAACTCCTATTTAGGAGAGTTTAAGTTTGGAATACTATTTTGGAATATGATACATGTTTTACTCCTATATAGGGGGTTTTCTTGCACCAAAATTGGTAAAAAATTTAAAAAATAAATAAATAAATAAAAATCAAATAAAAATGGGTGGTGGAAAAGGGGGTTGTGTACACCTAGCATTACTCTTTTAAATAACACTTCCGTCTTGCCTGCAAAATGCATTTTTGATTAGCGTTTTGGATAAAATTTTAACAGTGTTGATTAATTCTGAAAACGTTAATGCTAGAGGCTACGAGAATGTCACATAAATTTTTCAAAATGTTCATTCCTAATGTTGACACCATCTCTAAGGGCCCTTCAACCTTGTATTAATTGAGTTAAAATATCAGACTCTCATGCATTTATACGAATGCCTTTCATTGCAACCATCATGCTTCAAATTCGGAATCTCCTTTTTTTTTAGGGTCACAATCCGCTCTGTCTCCGAAATAGTATTGATCAACAATCCGCTCGATCTCTAGTCTCATGTTCCCCCATTCTGTAGCTTCTGCGACGACTTGTCGCTTTAGTCAGGATTTATACGACTGCTATTTGTTACTCCCTCCGTCCCAAATTATAATGTCTGTTTACTATTCACAGGGTCAAACTTCACTCACTTTCTTTCTCTATTTTCGTTAGCAATTTGATAAAATAAAATATTATTGTCACTACTAGTTTTGTAGATCTTTTGATGTAGTTTTTTAATATGTAATTTTTATTTTTTAATTCTATACCATTTGTCATATAAAATGGTTTGAAAATAATTTCAGTCAAACATCGTAAACCGAAACAGTCGTTATAAAATGGGACGGAGTTACTAAATGATATAAGAATAGGCAACGTGCAATCGATGCATTGACACTATAGTCTCCCAACTCAAATGTTTTGGTTCTTTTGGTCTGTTGCGTCTCGTCTGGCACTAGCACCCACTTCAAGCATGTGCATAGAATTTTTCATGCCTCCATATATGTTGAAACACACCATGCATGCCCTCGTGGTATTTTTTTAGGTCAGTTTTCAACACCTCTGCATCACTGGCAGAACTACGGTGGTGTTGGTCCAAAACTTTTTGGTAGCAACCGCCAAACGATTCCATTTCTTGTTCATGTCTAGAAATTTTAAAAATGATAGAGTATTAGAAGAGTCGATATGACAATTGTTGGAGCAAGACATGAAATAGCCCATTTGGCTGTTGCCTACATTCAATGATTCTTAAAAGTGAAATTTACACTAAATAGGACTAAAACATAATGACTTTCCTAATGTAGGACTTAAACTTTTTTATTCCCTAAATAGGACTTAATAATGACCTAGTGGAAGGAATAATGTCTAGTAATGATGGATATTTAGTTGAATAATGACTATTTGATAATGACCAAAAATCCTACATTGGGAAATAAAAACATATGATCCTATATTGAGAAAGTCATTATGTTTTAGTCCTATTTAGGTAAATTTCTATTCTTAAAATCAATCATCGAACAACATTCAAAATTTCATATTTCTTATAATAATTTTATTTACAAATTGATCTAAACAGGAGTACAAATTGCATATTTAGAAACTATATAAAAAAATTTACAAAATAAGTAATGATATGATTATTAAATTTTATCAAACTATCAATAACAACACGTATACAAAAAAAATTAGATTTTAATTTTTTTAGATTTTAGATTAAAGAGAATGATTAATTTGGGAGGAAAGGGGGTATTTAAATCTCTCAAATACTCTCGTATAAATAATCAAATAAACGAGAGCCAAGCAATGACAGGGAGAGAGAAAGAATTCACGAATTCGCCGGCGGATCTCGGAGCTGTGGCATCCGGCGGTCTTGTCGGCAAAACCCTTAAAGTTCTGACCTAAACTTTCGGAGGCTCCAGCTTTTTGCGGGTTTCCGGGAGAACATGGGAATTCTTTTGGACGACGTCGTCCTTATCGAGCACGGGAAAAATTCCGGCGACCCGACCGTCGTGACGGTGAACTGCCCCGACAAAGCTGGGCTCGGATGCGACCTCTGTCGAATAATCCTAGAATTCGGTCTCTATATTACCCGTGGAGGTTAGCCGCCTTCAATTTTTTTCTTCTTCTCTGAATAAATAAACCTTGCTGGTGTTGGATTTGCAAAATAAATGAAATAAAAAAGTTCCCTTTTTTTATTTTTCTTTGGAAATTAATGTTCTTTCTTTGGTTTTGTTTATGGAGATTTTATTTATAGAATTGAGTTCACTAGTGATGAATTTTCATAGAATCTTGAGTAATTTTTTTTGTTCTCCCATGCATTGAAAGCTCATCATCTTAAATCCAAGTTGTCTGGTTTTCTTTTTTCATCCCTACCAAAATGTTTTACATTCTTTCTCCTCAATTAATCTACTTTAATTTCACGGATTTTAAGAAAAATATTGAAAAGTAAAAATAGATTATTTAAGTTTGAATTTCCTTGAGTAAAGAGAAAGCTTGTGAACAATTTATTCTTTACTTTATTTAATCAGGCATGTAAGAAAGTAGGATGATTATTTTGGAACAGAGTAAAAAAGAAAAATAGGACGATTGATTCGAATATTACTTTTAGAAAAGAATACGTATCACTTTTTAGTTTTTACTACTCAATATTTTTTGAATACTTCTGTGAAGTGGATAAGTTAGGTACATTTTCTCTCTTACTTTTGTTTCTTTTGGCTGAAATAGCATGATTAAGAGCAGTTTTGTAAGTTTTTTTTACTTTTAAGAATTGTTAGTTCTTTTGAACTTTTCTTAGAAAGGGAAAGCTACTTATTTTGGTTATATTTTGATCATTTGGCTTACCAATTAAGCAGATTAAACCACTCTAGACTACCAAAAGGTGCCTAAAAGTGTAGAGACTTATAAATAAGCTTATAAGCTAAAGAAAGTTTCTTGCTTTTTTATGTTTTGATAATATATAATTACTCCTTAACAGTTAACACACACGCCACAGTTTTTTTATATTTCATGAAAAATATTGTTTTTCGACACTTTCAATATAGTAGTGAATAAATTTCATATATTTAGAAGCACCATACGTGAACTGATGTACTTTTTTGTTGGAAATTTTAAAGTAAATTGGACATTTTCGGACATAAATTCGGTAGGGCCCACAAAATTATTTTCCAAAATAATTATGGACGATTAATCCCGAAGACTCCAAGTTTTATTTTCTTTTATTTTTGTTGTAAAATCCGAATGTTTTATTAGTTCGGATTATTTTATTTTTATTTTCCCGCTGTAATATTCAACATTTTTTAAATGACAAACCCAAGTAATACGGAGTAACTTATGAATAAAAATGTCTAAGAGATTGAGCAGAGAAAGAAGACTTGGTTTGAAAAATAAATATTTCCTACGTCCCACTATATTTGTCCACTTTCATTTTTGCACACCATCCAATACACTTCTTTAATCCATTTTATCTTGTAATTTGTATATTAAAAAATTATAGAAATTATATATTAATAATCTATATGTTAAGACAAATCAAACAAGATCACGCATGACTATATTTAGACTTACACATTGAGAGAATTTGATGAGTCAAAGTGCTTAGATGAACAGTTCCAAAAGTCAAAAGTGGACGAATATAGTGGGACGGAGGGAGTAGTAACTAAGACATGGAAAATGACACATAATGAGTACCAAAAGTCAAGTTTGGGAGGGTTTTGAAAAAAGAAATCCAACTTAAGTCTTGAATGGTTTATGTCCATTGCCAATGGAGCTAAAATAGTCGCAATAGACAATGTTTTAGCTTCGAGTAAATAATGGACCAAGTTAAAATGAGACGTTAAACTTCCTTTGCTTCTTGACCCCTAGGCACCAACAAAGTTGAGATTATACTGGGTTGTTGTTCTTGTTGTCTTGAATGGTTTATGCTGCTGCAGATTTGTATTATTTTCATCAGCTTGTTGCATTTGAGTGTTTAGCATCTGCGTGACAACTGTTTTCTTGATTGCAGATATATCTACTGATGGAAAGTGGTGCTACATAGTATTGTGGGTTGTTCCGCGCCCAATCTCATTAAAAATTGATTGGGAAAGTTTGAAAACCCGGCTTGTTTCTGTCTGCCCCTCTTGTATGATTTCCTTTTTCATTGAACCGCAGTCAAGTAGCTCTCAGCATCATCCCATTTATCTTCTGAAAGTGTTCTGTTTGGACAGGAAAGGACTATTACACGGTAAGTGCTAATCTCAGCCCATGTTTGGTACTCATAACTGGCTTATTTAGCTTGTCATTACAACATGTAGCCTTTGGCATACTTATCTGGCTGAGATGGATGTTACCAAACACCAAATGCCTTTACCCAAACAGGCCCTAATTTTTTTTAATAACTTTGTTTGCCTAGATGTTTGCTTCATGATTCCATATTGTTTTTATTTATCGTTTTGAGGAACTGACTCAACCAAAAGTTCAAACTTATGGTCGAAGGCTTGAAACATGTGTCATACTCTAACATATGGTTATGTGGCATTTCAGATGTTACCAAAGTCCTTTGTGAGCTTGAGCTATTAATACAAAGATTAAAAGTTATGACAACTCCTGATGGGAAAGTCTTGGATCTCTTCTTCATAACGGATGCAATGTAAGCTGTTTGTTTCGAATCAAGTGCATTTCATGGATCTGTTTTTTTGGATGATCTGAATGTGAGAGTTCTGAACTATCAGGGACTTGTTACATACAAAGGAGAGGCAGGACATCACATGTGAACATGTAAGCAGTATTTTAGGGGAATACTGCATAAGCTGTGAGCTCGAGTTGGCGGGACCCGAGTACGAGGGCCAGCAAGCTTTCACTTCCCTTTCTCAATCAGTTGCAGAGAAATTATTTAGTTGCGAATTGTCTGAGAAGGAATCCTTAGAAACAACAAAGGCGAAGAAGAATGCCATTGTTGCAGTGGACAATCTTCTCAGCCCGGCCCACACGTTGCTTAAAATACAGTGCATTGATCAAAAGGGCCTCATCTATGACATTTTGAGGACTTCAAAGGACTGCGAAATTCGGGTATCTTGTAACTCTCTCTCTTTTTTTCCCTCTCAAAATGATTTGCGTGGTAATGCTTTATTATTGTTCACAATGAAGTTTTGTGAAAGAGGAATGTTTGGAGATCTAGGATTAGAGTAGTTGGTTAGTTTTTTGGGTCTTTGTTAGTTTTTTATTCCCTCTGTCCCATAAAACCGAACCACTTTGGAAAAAAGTATGATTTAAGAAATGTATAATTTTGGTGTTATTTTCCAATTTTCTCATTACTTTGTTGTAGTGTAGATTAATAGTGAATAAATATGATGTGATGGGCATGTTAATAATTAGTAGTGGTAAAAGGGAGATTTAAAATGAAAGTGTAAGTATTTTTAAGAACGAGGACTAGGTTCGTTGATGATTGTTGTTGAACTTTTCCGAAAGATACACAATGTATTAATTTTTTTGCTACATTCTCTAGATTGCCTATGGAAGAATCTCATCTACTGTCAAGCGCTACCGGACTATGGAACTGTTCGTACAAACAACCGACGGGAAAAAGATCATCGATAGTGAGAGACGGGAAGCTTTGTGTCGTCGCTTGAGGGAAGAGATGCTACATCCGTTACGGGTCATCATTGCCAGCCGTGGCCCCGATACAGAATTATTGGTAGCAAATCCCGTTGAATTGTCCGGAAAAGGGAGGCCTCGTGTCTTCCACGATGTCACTGTTGCTTTGAAAAGTCTCGAGATTTGCGTGTTCTCGGTAAGGACCACCCTCCGTAGATATTTTAGCGTTAGTTACATTTACCTCCCTTAACTCTTCCAAAAAAAATCATATAAGCCCGCTTAAGTATGTCAATGAACTAACTCAACAAAAAGCTCAAGCTTGTGGTTGTAGACCCAAGAAAGGTGTTTATATTCTGACACGCCCCCTCACGTGCAGGCGGCTGCTTCGAGCCTTGTGGTGAGATTCAAACTCGTGACCTTTAGGCCAATAAGAATCTGATATCATGTCAAGAAACCAACTCAACTCAAAAAAGAAAAACTTAACCAAAGAATCAAGCTCTTGGTTCTAGGCTCAAGGAAGGTTTTTATATTCTAACAAAGAAGCGGTCAGATTTTGTGTTATTCTCCGGGTAGGGGTAGGGGTAAGGCTTGCGTACATTTACCCTTCTTAGACCCGACTCTTGGTTCCTCTCACCAAGTGTATGGACTTATGTGGTCTATACTTAAATACATTATTAATCATGGAATGAACATGAAATAAATATTGGGTTTGTTTCACTATATACATATTTGGGCTGGTCTCGTATACCCATTTACTAGAATTTTTGGATCCTCAATTTGATTCATTTTTTTAAAAACCGGTTTGCAGGCGGAGATAGGAAGACATTCAACATCAGAAAGGGAGTGGGAAGTGTACAGATTCCTTTTGGACGATAGCCCCAACTTCCCATTAGCTAGCAAACGAGCACGAAACGACATTGTAGATGGCGTCAAAAGAACACTGATGGGCTGGTGAGAAACAATCCGAACTTGAATGCCCAAAGGGTTGGTTTCTACTCAAACCCGTGCTGGTTAACCAAACCAAGCAAAACATGGTATGGTTTAGGGCTTGTTCTCCTCAACTTATCTTTTTGGTTCTGATCTGGTTGTAGTTATATATAAAGCTATTTCTAATCTGATCTGATTCCAATACGAATAATAAATGAGTGAAAAGAATCAGTTGAAGAGAACAAGCTCTTAGTTTCTCCATGTTACCCTTGTAGAATGTGATGTATTGTTATATTTGTCTATGAAGATGAGCTTCTAAAAATGTTTCTTGATCCGATGTCGATCGTCTCCTTTCTTGTGTGTTGTAATTCTGTTCTGTGTACATTATTCTTTTTTTTGGTACATAATTGAAACATGTAAGCTTTTGGTTTCTGTTGTTTAAATTGTATTCCACCTTTTCCTTTGCATATGTACTATGTGTTGAAGAGTCTATGTCAAATTTACTTTTTGGATGTTCCAAAAGCACTTCCTAGTTTTTTTTAGTAATGAATGTGTAAATTACAAGTTTTTTTTGGAAGATGAGTATTATAAAATTAAATAAAAAAGACAAATGGACAATAATGCACTCCTATTTTGGTTATGCATGACCCCATACTACAACTAAGAAACTACACCACAACCTGCATGGATAGCTTAGATGGTTCTAAGGGAGAATGTCAAGCCCGGAGTCTCGTGATCGAATCCTGACAGCGATTGTGTGAGAGTTTTATTAATGTAATATTTCCTTATGCAGAGCGGGATTAAGTACCTCTCTAAGAATCAGATTAAAATTATGTCATGATCTAACATCTCATTATCCTATCGGGTTGCGGTGTGGGGTGCTCGAGTTAGGTGTTCCATCTTAAGAAACAGGCCAACAATGACTTACCCATCCCAATTTTGAGTTAGAAAAGTGAACATTGAGAAAGTGAAAAGTATTCACAACGGCAAGCCTAAGCATGTACCAAAGTCTACTTTAGGATTCCCGAATGGGAAATGTGTTGACAAAATTCACCATTCTCCCTTTGAACTATAGAGGAATTAGTAAACCGACATTACTAGAGAATTTGTTTAGAGTCATTTGGTTGAGGGGAAATAATTTTGAAGAAAAAAATATTTTTCTATCACAATTTTCATTGTTTGATAAGAAAAATTTGTTTGACTAGCAAAATATTTTTCATTATTCATACTTGAGATTTATATTTATAAATACGTTTTGAGACAATTAAAAAATATTTTAGCAGAATGAGGGGAGGAGTGGGGGTGACACAAACGAGAGACGATGGGGCGCAAGGTGGGGGTTTCGGGTGGTGGGCAAAGTGGAGAGGCACCGAGGGCAAGTAGCATAGGGTGGCCAGTAGCGGGAGACAGTATGGTGTGTGGATAAGGTTGGGGTGGGG